GGGCACCGCTCCTCCGCTCAGCCAGGGAGGGGGAGGCGCGGCGCCCACACCGCAGCTCGCTGGGCGCCGAGGCGGAGGCCCGAGGGAGCGGGCCCTGCACCCTAGGGCTGACCCTAGTTTCTGTCCCGCGTGGACAGGCCCGCGGGCACCGAGTGTGTGCCCGCCTGCCGCTCCGAGGTGGTCAATTTGTTGCAGAATCAGCGCGGATTCAGCCCTGCCCCTGCCCCACCCGAGAGGCCAGGGGTTGTGATTCTGAGGGTTGGGTGGTGCATGGTGCCTTCCGACTGCCCCGCCCGGTGTTGGGACCTTCGTGGCTCTGTGGGGGCTTTGCAAGAGGGGAAGTTGTGCGGATGCCGCGGGGGAGGAGCCGTTTTGTTACCCGGGCTTGAGAGACGGAAATGGCCTAGAGAAAACCGGCTCCTGCTCGGCGCCTCTGGGACCAGGGCCGCCAGGGGGCGGTGGCTAGCAGTGCTCAGGGCCGGCTCCCAGCACTTGAGGACTGGCTCCTCACTTCCGGGTCTGCGTGTCCCATTGGGGAAGCCTCAGGGATGGCCGCAGGCCCCGGGACTAAGGGAAACCATCCTTCCAGTCTGGGTGCCTTGCCGCTGGGATCTCAGAGGTAGAAATGCTGTGCGCCTGGACTCCTCCAGGACGGCCTGGATGCTGCCGCTGGAGCTGCTTAATTAGCAGGGAGAGGAACTGGGGTGAGGGGTGCCTTGCAGTGACATCTGTTCTCCAGGAGCTGCGGGGCAGGAAGAGGCTGCCTTGGCCCTGAAGGAGTGTCTTGTGTCCTTCCAGGCTCACACCCTCCCAGCAAACAGTGACTAGGAGGCTGCCATAGAGTGACAGGGTCTAATAGGACCTGAGTCTGTGGCATCTATTAGTTCCAAAGAATCTTTGATTTAGCCCAAGATCAAAGAGGGCAAGGCCAGATAAGCTCTTAAGGAAAGTAATTTTTGAAGACACAGATTGGTGGCAGCTGCTTTCTGGGCCCTGTCCCTTACACAGGCCATGCAGTGGGCACGGGTGCCCCTTATGGTGCCTGGGGAGGCAGAGGTCATCCCCTCCTCGGAGCATGGTCCCCAGTGGACAGAGGAGGGGACCCAGGACCCGTGGGCAGTAAGTGTAGACCACAGCACTCCTCCAGAGGCCCACGGGGTCTGCCCTTGAACCGCCCCTGGACTTCACTGGGAAATCTCTTGCACATCATTACCTGATGCTGGTTCCCTGAGGCCCCCTATGCGCTGTTCCTCAAGCTCATGCCCCGAAGTCCCTGCACACACACACACACCCCACCCCTGCCCCCTGAGGGCCCCAGAGCTGGCGCTGGCTGCTATCCAAGGGTATATGCAGGTGCCCCTGTGCCAAGGCTCTCCCTGACCAGAGAGACCTCTTCCACATCCTTGTGGACGCATCAGTGTGGTCTGTCCACCTTGCTGCTGTTTCTTGTCTGCTTGCCCCGTAGAGGGTCAGCCCCGTGAGGACAGGGACCTCAGACTCCCTTGGCCCTGGGCATGCCGGCGGACGAATGATCACCTTGTGGTGATAACAACACGCCCTTCAGTCTGTCTCCTGGTGGGTCCAGGTGGAAAGGGGTTGTCAGACCCCCCCCAAAGCAGCAGGAAGGAGGGCTTTCCGGGGGAGGGGTGGGAGTAGTACAAGTCCCTGGAGCCTGTTTCAGCCCCTTTAGGGCTGCAGCCCTCCAGCACCCCAGTTCTCCATCTGCTCTGAGCCAGTTGGGGATCCCTGGGGCCCAACCCCAGTGGACCATCTCCTCCCTCCCTTCTGGCCTTATTTTACTCACTCGCCCGGCAAACTTTCATGAACCTAGATGGGGTTTCAGGCCCAAGTGGAGGCCCTGGAGCTGCATGCCCCAACTCTGCAGCCCTGCCCAGGACAGCTCCAGCTTCCCAGAGCATGGGCCGGCCCCTGCCCATCTACCCAGACAGGGAGTCAGGAGGGAGAAGCTCCTGTGGGCAAAGACAGACAGGTCAGTCCTGTCTCCAGGTGCCTGTGGAGTGGGGCCAGAAACACCTATTTTCCCTGGGCAGCCAGAAGAGCCTGCCCATGAGGCAGCTCCCAAGAGTGGCCCCCCTTCAGGTGTGTGAACCCCGTGTGGAAATTTTTCTTCCCTGAGCCCCTGCCAGCTGTTTCGATGTTGGAAGCCAGGTCGACAAGAAAGCTGGTATACGCAATGAATTGGCTGGGGATCTATGGACACAAATCCCTTTACAAGCTTGGGTAAAGATGACAACCCAATGTTGCTGGGGGTGGGGCTGAACCTGCTCTTCTCCTGCTGCCAGGGTGGAGAGTGGCTGTGTCCCCTGGTTGAAAGCTGAGCACTGCGTAGCCTTGGGGAATGAGCTGGAGCCTACCCATGGAGGGGGCAGGGCAGGCAGTTATTCTGGGATGCCTCAGGAGGGTAGAGTTTCAGGTTTGTTTATGCCTCTAGGAGGCTTTTTGGGGCCAGGAATGGGATGCCCAGCTCAGCACTGACATTCAGCTCGGCTTGTCCAAGAGACACCTCAAATTTCCCTGTCCTACTCCGAAACGGGGGCGGGAGGTGGCTCTGCAGCCCCAGGCAGGCTGGGGAGTCTGGAACTTTTTCCCGTGTGTTCTGGGAGGGGTACAGTCGTCCTTAGCAAGCCCTGGGCCAGCAGTGTGCCAGCCTGTGTGCAGGAGGGGGGCAGCTCACACCCGAGGGCTGGCCTGAGGTCTGCCCGGGCCACGCGAGGCTGTTCTCTTTAGCAGGGTCAGTGCTATTAATATCAGCCGAGCGCACAGCCCCCAGCTGGGTGATCCTCTTATGCCTGTGGCCTGGGCCTCAGGCCGGCGGGGAGTGCTGTTCCTTAGGCACAGGGGCTCCTGGGGCCTCCCAGTGGGCAGCTTCTGCCAGCCAGGGGTCGGGCCCCACCTCGGAGCTTCTCAGCTCCTGTCCGCTCACACATGGAGGGGCAGTTTAGGTGGCTCCTGAGCTGACCTGGGAGGCCACTGTGGGTCTAAGAGGTAGTGGGGTGATGCCTATGCACACACCTGGGATCGCCCTGTCGTCCTGGTGCCTCCCGTGTCCCAGCCATGAGCAGCCCCCCAGCTTACCCTGGCATCAGGATCTCAGGGTGCTGGGCCCTCAGAGCGGAAGGCAGGTGAGTAGCAGGCCTGTTGTCTCCCGCAGCTGTGGTGGGGACACCTGCCTGAGCTGTGTCCCGGCCGTTCGCGGCCCTGTGCTTTGTGTCTCGTGGACATTGGGAAGCAAACAGCCGGGGCAGGTGCTCCTGGGGGGCCAGGCAGGGCCCACCACCCGCAGGCGCTGGTTTTGCTTGGAGCTGTTGGTTATAGGCTGGTCTGTGTCAATTGTGGCTCATAATCCTTTGAGTTGAAGTTACCTTTTGTCTCTGTAGCCAGAAGCATCCTGTTCATCTGTGAACAGGGAAATGAGGTCTTTTGTGCGACTTGCTCATCTCTTGAGTTCCTCCTGTTGGAAAGTGGAGTGAGGCTTGTCTGAGGGCACAGTGAAGCTTTGTCCCTGGCTCCCAGGGAGAGACGGCTTTGAAGAAGGCAGTGGAGCTGGGCTTGGCTGCAGACCTGCCTGACGCTGTTCGGGCCCATCATAAGCCCGAGGTGGGGCGGGTTTCTGGCCGAGTCATCTCTGGCCTACTTTTGACTCTTCCCGTCATAAGGGCACTCTTCCCTGAGAAGGTGTCTGCCCCAGGCTGTCAGCAGCACAAGCCTCAGAAGTCGTCCATGGGTCCGTGGTGGTGGTCGTCATTACCTCAGTAGGATGAGGGACACTCACAAATAGGGACCTGAAGGCCCCCCTGGAGAGGCCAGGCCACCAGACTGGCGTGAGAAGCAGGGGCACACCAGCCCTCGCTGTCTCACGCAGTCCCGCCGGGCAGTCCTAGCTGTGCATGTGCATGAGCGTGCTCCGCACCAGTGCACAAGGGCATGCTCATTGGGGTGACAGGCCTGCTCCTCTGCAGGTCAGGTTTTCTGTGTTGGAGTTTCCTCCCTGAGTAGAAGGCTCAGAGAGGAGGAGCCAGCCCCAGCTTGGTTCTCTGCCCACTGTGGCCTCCAGGGCCCCTCAGGGCTCCCATGCTGCTGCAGGGCCAGCTCCACTCTCCCCAGCTATGGGCCATTTGTCTTCTCCGGGAGGGCAGCCTGCTTGTGAGCCCCAGGGGCTGTATGCTCACTGTTGATGGATGAGGGGGTCCGGGGGAGCAGCCAGCACTGGCCTCTGTCTGGGGCCTGGAGACACCACAGCTTGTGCTCTTCATCTGTCTCCTGCTCGGCTGAGTAGGAATGCGAGCAGCACCCCTAGGGCGGTTCGTCTGTGCCGGGCTGAGTCCCCCACATGCTCGCTGTCACCGCCTGGTCGTCTTGGTGCCCTGCTGTGTTGTTTGTGCCCAGCTCCGCAACGCGTTACCGTCTCCAGAGCTGCAGAGGACGCTGAGTGCGCAGACTGGCTAATTATTCCCGGGGCTCGCTCCGTGCTGCGCTGACGACAGAGGAGCAGCAGCAGCCAGCAGCCCCGGCTTCTCTGTCCCCCAGGATGGCACTGCATGTGTCCTGTCAGATACGATAGGGGGCTCTCCTGCTGCTTACGCTGGTGCCGGCGTCATCTTCTGGGCCCTCGAGACCTGCTGATGGGACCTGTCTGTCACGTGTTAGGCCTCAGCTAATTCCTTCCACCGGCCTCCTCCCCGCCACCCCACAAGTGCACACAGACACCATCCTCTTAGTTCTCGGCAACACCGGGTGCCGTGGGAGGATCACACAGCTAGAAGTAGCAGCATTCCCAAGCTGGAGATGCTCAGGCCACCCCAGAGCAGGAAGGCACTTGTCATGGCCCTGGGCAAGCAAGCCCTTGCTGGGGCCTGTGCCTGAGGCCAGGTTCCCAGCACCCCCTGCCCTGGCAGTGTGGTGACAGCAGCACAGCAAGCTTCAAACACAGACCATGACTTGTTTGGGGTTTTGGTAACAAAGGAGCATGTGCTCATAAAACATTCAAATGTGGCACAAGTCCCTGTTCCAAATCTTGGTGCCCAAGGCAATCCTGGCACATCCACTTGTAGCTTTTTCTTTGCTCACGCATTTACATGCAGGTGCATGCAGGTGACACTTGTCATTTGTTGGTTTTATAGAAACGGGATCATATCTTGCAGCAGTTTGCTTTCTCACCTAACCATACTTCGAGGACACCTTCTATGGCCACGTCCTCAGGTTTCCCTGCCTGTATTCTGAGCATGGTGGGATTCCAGACCGTGGGTGGACAGGTGGGGCTGCAGGAAGCGTCCTACAAGGAGTCGTCCGGTGCCCCAGCGTCTTCCTTGCGCTTTCTTGCCTCCTGCTGGGCACTCTGCCTGGACAGTCTGCCGCTGTGGTGGGCCATGACCGGCCTTGGAGCCTCGGGCAGGTCTGCAAGGTGACACTGTGGCCAGTCCAATCTCTCTTAGGCAGTGACCGGAAATGCTTCTGCCGAAGCCTGTCCCTGTGGCCACCTGTACACCGGGCTCTGCGTCTGAGTGTCTCAGCATAGACTCTGAGCAGGCACTGGGCAGATGCTACCTCCTGGCCAGGCCACTCAACTCAGCTGAGTCTCCCCAGAAGCTGTCCCTGTCGGAGTTTGAGGCCTTGGGCCCGTTCCCCTTGGGGGTCTAAACCGATGGAGACGTCAGCATGTCAGCTCAGCACAAGTAACGAGGGACGTGGCTGGGGCAGCAGCAGGGCCTCATGGCATCCCTGCCTTTCCCCCTTGCGTTTTCTACCTTTCGCCTTTGGGGGCCTCCGCCCTTCTTCCTGGAGTTTGTGGGATGCTGGGGGCTAGAAGCAATGGCTTCCCCACGGAGCTCCCAGCCCAGGGCCTCCCTGCTGCATCCGTCCAGGCTGCTTCCCCGCTCAGCTCTCCTATCAGCAACTTCTTTCTGGGAGCCCCTCGCCCCATCTGCCTTGCAGGGCGGCAGGTGGGATCTTACAAAACGAGAGGGTTGCCCAGAGAGTGTCCTAGGAGAGACACAATCCTTGATGGGGTCTTGACTGTCCTTGGCGTGCCCACCTCTCGTCTCCTGGAGGGACGGGGCCCTGCCCAGCCCGGCAGACACCCAGTCCACGTAGAAGCAGGAGTGTGGCCTGGGATGGCACTCTCCCGTCCCCCTGTTGTTGTCTGCTGTCACTCTGAACTTGTGTGGGCAGTGACTGTTTGAGGCCATGAGCCCTGTGAATGGGCTGCAGGAGGGTTTCGTGTGCCCCCCAGTTGAGCCCCCCTGCCTAGGCCATGCCCATGCGCCTGCGTGGGGGGCGTACCACATAGACCGGCCACACTGGGCCTGGTACAGGGTGGCGGGGGGCTGCTGGCCCTGGGCCGAGGCAAGCGTGTCTTCCTCCTCTGCAACAGCAATGCTGAATCCTTGGACAGGCTCCTCCCTCCTGTGGGAGCCGGGCGCTCGCCCCGGAAGCGCACCACCAGCCAGTGCAAATCTGAGCCGCCCCTGCTACGCACCAGCAAGCGCACCATCTACACGGCAGGGCGGCCACCCTGGTACAACGAACATGGCACGCAGTCCAAGGAGGCCTTCGCCATCGGTGAGCACAGCTGGCAGGCGGGAGGGGCGGGCTGAGGCCACCGCCTGCCCCACTGCCCCCAAGTGGGGTAGGTCAGGCGGCACCCCCGTGGGACGCCTGGGCCCGCGTTTCCTCTGACCTGCGCTGCCTTGGGCTTCTCAGTTGGGTATCAGGCCTGGGGAGGGGGCGGGAAGCTGGCGTCTCAGTTGGGGAGGGCTGTCCTGTCCCCGCAGGCAGAGGCAGTGTGGCGGGTGGTAGGCACCACTGGGACCATCTGGGAGGCCGACGACGCGCCGCTCCCCTCAGGGTCTCTCCGCTCCTCCCCGCAGGCCTGGGAGGCGGCAGTGCCTCCGGGAAGACCACCGTGGCCAGAATGATCATCGAGGCCCTGGATGTGCCCTGGGTGGTCTTGCTGTCCATGGACTCCTTCTACAAGGTGAGAAGCGCCCCCTGCAGGTGCAGGCCGCCATCCCAGGAGGGCCTGGAGCTCCTGCCCCTGCCCAGCGGGCAACCCAGCCCGCAGTTCCTTCTCTTGCCAACAGGTGCTCACCAAGCAGCAGCAGGAGCAGGCTGCCCACAACAACTTCAACTTCGACCACCCAGACGCCTTCGACTTCGACCTCATCGTCTCCACTCTCAAGAAGCTGAAGCAGGGCAAAAGCGTCAAGGTGCCCATCTACGACTTCACCACCCACAGCCGGAAGAAGGACTGGGTAGGCCCTGGGGGCTCAGGCTGCGTGGGGCCAGCGGAGGGGGGCCTCTGGGCTGCCTGGACACACAGGCAGCACAAGCAACTCCACCGTGCCTTTGCAGAAAACACTCTACGGTGCAAACGTCATCATCTTCGAGGGCATCATGGCCTTTGCTGATAAGACACTGCTGGAGGTGAGGGCGGGGCTCCAGGCCACACCTTCCTTCTGGGAACGCCTACCCCTGCTCGCTCCCTGCCTGTCCTAGGGGACTCGCCTTCAATTGTCTCCTCCAGGCAGGCCCTGGCCACTCACCCTGTCCCCATGTTGCCTGGTCACCTGCCCTGTCCCTGTGGTGTGTGTGGTCACTGGGTGTTGGGTAAGGACTGGCCATCATGGGGCGCGGACCAGGCAGCCCCCGGCCTCTCACCCTGTCCCCATGTTGCCTGGTCACCGGCACTGTCCTGTCCCTGTGGTGCGGTCACTGGGTGTTAGGTGAGGACTGGCCATCAGGGGGAGCAGACTAGGTGGGCCTGCCACTCCCATGGAGAAAACAGAAACGCCCTGGCCAGGGGTGAGGCGGCCGAGGAGGGCTCACCTCCCGGATTTGGGTGTGAGCCCTGGGTGGCCCTTGCTCATCCCCTTCACATTGATGTTTCTCTGACATTCCCTGGGGTCCACGCAGTTACCGAGGTCCCAGCGGCTTGGGGCTGGTGGGTGTGAGTGCACGTGTGTGCTCTTGTTTGGAAGGGAGGTGGCTTCCCGTGTCTGCACTGTTGGCACAAGGCACTCCTGACCCCTGGGCGGCTCCAGGCAGCTGGTCCAGGTGTGACACAGCCTCGTCCTTCTCACCAGGCCACTCTGGGGGTGGTGCCCTCTCCCACTCCTTCTGAGGCCTGTGAGGGAGGCCTGTGCTCACGGCCAGCCACACACTTGTCCTTGTTCCTTGTGGTCCTTCTGAGCCAGTGAGTTTGGGCTCAGGCCCAGGGAACCCCGCTGTCCCACAAAGAGCAGCACCTGGCCGCCCAGTGCCCCCATGGCCCCTCAGGGGTCCCCTGCTGTGTGCTGAGTGTGGGGCCAGACCCTGAACTCACCAAGCCCCGAGAACTCGGTGTGGGGTGTGGTGGGGAGGGAACAAGCCCCCAGCGTCCTGGTGCGTGCAAAAGCTTCTGCGAATGAGCACATGGATCACAGTGCCAGCCCCCTTGCGCCTTAGCAGCCAGCATCCACGGGCTGAAGCTTCTGGCAGACAGCACCCCCCACACACATGTACATGCCCTCGCACACCCACACACGCCACCAGCCAGACCCACAAGGTGCCCCATGCGTCTGATTTGCTCCCGACTCAGCACACAGACCAGAGGTCTCTGCAGAAGCTGGTTCCCAGGTTGCCCACGTGGGCCCTTCTGCTGGCAGGGCCTTAGAGTCCCTCTGTGCCAGCCCCACTCAGCGACTCACTCTCCCCGCCCAGCTCCTGGACATGAAGATCTTTGTCGACACGGACTCGGACATCCGCCTCGTGCGGCGGCTACGCCGGGACATCAGCGAGCGGGGCCGGGACATCGAGGGTGTCATCAAGCAGTACAACAAGTTTGTCAAGCCCGCCTTTGACCAGTACATCCAGCCCACCATGCGTGTGGCCGACATCGTTGTGCCCCGGGGTGAGCCTGCAGTCCCGCCTGTCGTTGGGGCGGGGGGACAGACAGGGGTGTGCTGCCCACGTCACCCTCCCACCTGCATCCCCTCCCACCCGCCCCGCCCCAGGCAGTGGGAACACAGTGGCCATCGACCTGATCGTGCAGCACGTGCACAGCCAGCTGGAGGAGGTGAGCCGGCCAGGCCAGGGTCCCTGCAGCCTGCCCCAGCCCCACGCCCCACCCCCTGCTGCCACCGCCCACAGCCACCTGCTCGTGCAGCCCCCACGCATTACTGTCCCCTGCTGTGTGCCGGCCCTCTGGCATCCCGGGCCTGCTCAGTGAGCCCCTCAACCCCCAGCCCTGTGTGCTGGCTGGAGACAGTGGGTTCCCTGAGAAAGTATGGGGCGCAGAGTTGCTTCCTGGTGCTCCCAGCCTGAGTGGGCCTTGCCAGGAAGAGTGCACTCCTGTACCTCCCAACCTTTTGGGGGCTGGTGGGTTTTGGTGCTGAGTCCCACGTCCCAAGCACCCTAGGATGGATGCCCTGACCTGAGGTCACAAACCCTAGGCTGGCCAAAGGCCCTCCCCACCATCATCGTGGGGTACCCAGCCCAGAGGGTGTCCAGGTCAGAGCCAGACAGAGCTGCCTTCTTCCTCCGTGGGGCTGTGGGTGCCCATTCCTGGGTGGGGGTGGCCTGGCAGGCCGAGGCGCACGGCAGCACCAGGCTGTGCCCACCGGTGACTGCGAGGTGAGCAGTGCCACCCTCACTGACACGCCGCCCGTTCCCTTGTGTCTCCCTGTGTTGCCGCCGCAGCGTGAGCTCAGTGTCAGGTAAGACTCCCCACACCGGGCTGCACAGACGGAGGCATTTCCAACATCCCCGGGAGCTCGGAGTCTGGACTGTCACCCGGGCAGCAGGAGGGTCCTCTCCCACCGCGCCCACCCATGTGGCAGCCCTGCCCCAGGCACAGAAGGGGTGGGGTGGTGGCCCCCACACTGCTTCTGCCTGCCTTTGCCGGCAGGCAAGGGAACTAAGGCACAGGGAGGTTAAGGAACTTGCCCAAGGTCACACAGCCCTGACCTAGGCTGGCCAGGCCTCTCTGGAGGCTCCTCCGCAAGTGGAGGCTGGTGGCGTGGGGTCTAGCCCCAGAGGGCACAGCCATTCTGAGCCAGCACTGCTGGGCCCCCAAGGCGGTGGCCACATGCCTGTCCCTCAGCAGCCAGAGGGCCTGGATCTACACCTCCTCTGCCCAAGCAGAGGGGGCAAGTCTGACTCCCCCAGGTAGTGCTGAGGCCCCAGCCCCCTGGCCGCCTAGCCACCCTGGCCCTGGAGCCAAGGCACAGAGAGCCAGGAGGAGCTCTGGGCGGGCCTGGGCTGCGTCTCCATCCTGCGCATGAGAGCACGTGGAGCACCTGTCCCCACACAGTGGTCACACTGTGACCTGCCCTCTGTCCAGGCTGTCTGTGGAGCCAGGACGCGCCAGGCTGAGCCACCTGGCAGGAAGGCCCCCAGGTCACACTGAAGGGTCTGCATTGGAAATGCCTCCAGGGCTGGTCACGCCCTCCAGCTTCCTGCCCTTGCATGAGTCTGCTCAGCTCTCACCAGACCAGGGCACCTGCCAGTCGTGTCACGTCAGGTCCTCGGAAAGCCTTTGTCTGAGCAAAAAAAGTTTCCAGGGTTTCAAACTCGAAAAAACACCTAAACACAGCCAGCTACATTTTCCCTTCTCTGGTCAGCCAAGGAAGTGGTGGTCACAGGCTGCTCACCTCGGTCAGCCCCAGGAAGTGTGGCTGGGGGGTGGGCAGCTGGGTGTGGACTGTGCTGGCACTCATGCCCTACCGCAAGCCAGGCCCACTGCAGCAAAGGCTCGAGAGTCTCCCTGCCACTGACCCCCTGCCTCTCCTCTTCCTCTGGCCAGCTGGTGGCCACAGGGACCGCCTGTGCTCCCCTGCTAAATGGTCTTTTTCTCTTTGTTCTTTTCCTTTTCTTTGTAAACCTTTGGGTTTCCTGCCCTGTACCCTCCCCGAACTTAATCTTCACCTGGCGAGCAGAGGAAGCTGCGCTGGGATATGTGAGGACAGAGTGCGCTCTGGTTGTGGTGCTGCCCTGCTGTGCGCTCCCCTCCTCTCCCCTTCCACTCCCCCAGGCCCCTCCCCGCAGGCCCTTCATTCTCCCACTCCCCCC